AGAAATATAACAGGAAGCTGTTTATTTTTTTACTGTTCTTAAAATGCAAATATAAATTTTTTAAAAAATATGTAATCAAAAATATGTAATTTATATTGATGTATATATCGGTAAGGATCAGCTTCAAGTTCTACGACAGTGTTTTTGAAAAATTTGTATTTCTACTTAATCACGCGAACAAATAATGTTGTAATAAGCTGATTTTAAATAATAAATACTGGTTAGCAAATTGAGAGCAGAATCGCGTTTTAGATGTAAGAAAGTGGTTTATGCTGTAACAATAACTGTCATCAGCGTATTTTATAGAAAAATACAAGAGCAGGAGAGAGCAGCATTCTGAGTGAGTATGAATGCTTCCAAGTTTTATCAAATTATATACATTATAATATTTTATTATAATGTTTGTTTTTTAACTTTGACAGGAATATGTATAAGGACGAAGAAGTTATGATGACAATGACTATGTATTTATCTATTGTAGCAAGTTTTGTGGTTTTATAAAGATATTTTTATATTGGTATTGAAATGTCATGTATTGTATTCATGTATTCATCAATTTATTAATACAATTGATCGATACATGCATCGATTTAAATAATCATTTAGGTAATAAGCGAGTAAACCAGAAAAATGAAATGGGTTGGAAATGAAGCTAGAGAAGAGGTTGCTTTGGAAGAAATCATCAAATGTCATATATTTCTGAATTTGACTTTTATTTTATGATAGGGGCAGACTGATTCGATGATTTCGAATCTCGCATAGAAGCACTGCGTCGTCGTTTTAGTTCTTCTTGACGCCTGTTCTTAGCTTCCTTTTGTCGCTGTGCCAATAATTTTGCATACTCGGCTGCTTGTTGCTTGCATGCTAAGCTTCGCCTTCTTTTCAACGCCAGTCTATGTCTTTTCCTCTGTAAAAAATATTTTTATTTCGTTAGAAGCTTTATACTTTTTGAAAATTTTTTAAAAAGTAGAGTATATGTATATATACCTGCAGAGTCAGGGGAGTAATAAGGCGCTGAATTTTCGGCGCCTTAGAGCGCGCTGGTTTCCCTTCTTTTTGAATAGGTCGTTTTACGACGAAACGACGTACATCATCTTCCTTAGACAAATTAAAAAGTTTGCGAATTTTGCTCGCTCTCTTGGGCCCCAAACGCCGTGGAACTTCCTTATCGGTTAAATCCGGGATATCCTGTAAGAATTTAATAACTTATACATCAATTACTTCTTATCATGATTATTGCTGACTGTATCGTCTGTACACTGAGAAAAAGTATAAATTGCATAATACAATTTCCCAAATCAAGAAACGATATTTAATTTACCATGTTTACGATAGTATCATAAGAGTGAGTATGTTCTTAGATACACCCTGAAACATGGTTAATAGATAGAAAATACGAATAAATTAATACCTTTTCACCCTTTTTAACAATAACTAGAGCAAGCACCGACAGATTGGAGTCAACGATGCAGCCACGTACAGATTTACGTTTGCGTTCACCATCGCGTCTAGGTCTGTAGCATGAATGTCCTTTTGACAGCAATAAACGCACACGTCCTATTTACAACAATAATGTATGAATGTATTATACTGATGTATAAAAAAAAATATATAAAGCTATTATAAACCAAATTCAGGAGAAAATATTTGTCTCACCATTGGTCAAAACACCCTGTTTCATGGGAAATCCTTGTTTGTCATTGCCACCAGAAATGCGAACGACATAACCTTTCCATTCATTACCTAGCGCATCAGCCTCAACTTCGGCACCCATACGCTTTTCATAAAAAATTCTCAGCTTATGCTCATCTGAGATTTCAAATAGTTTTTGACATCCTGTTGCAGGATACGACACGTTCAACTAAAAAACAAGGAACATAAGAAACATTATCTAAAGGTACAGATACATTTTGTAAATATACTCTATGGATATAATCAAGGAGCATTAATGAACTTGCAATTACTATGCTATACAACATTAAATATATCAGTGCATTCATTAACATAGAAATGTTTATTAATTTGCTGCTAATAAATTAAATTCATTTTCTCTTGTAATTCAATTTGGTTTTGTTCCATTTCAATAAAT